AGCGGCAAAGAAACTGTTATTCATTCGCTTGCTTTTGAAGGGGACGCAGCTACCGAGCGTCCAACCCGGAGGTTTTCGGCCACGCTAATTCGACCTTCACAGCAGTCTCGCTAAAGTGCATGTTTTCAACGCAACCATTCACTCATCCGAAAAACAAGGACAAGGTGCCGATGCTGGCTACCTCCAAGACAACGTATCAGTTCGAGTGCGCCACAGGTGCACCATATATGTTGATCGAACGGTGCGGCACTTACCAAAACGCGTGAACGAACATGTCCTCCGTTGGTTGAGTCATTGAGGCGCCGGGAACATTGGCAGCGCCATTCTGGTCCACATTGTGGACACCGGCCATGAGGTGGGTCTGAAATGCACTTTTCGAATAGTGTACAAGGTTCCGCCACACCGATCGAATGATCACCGCCTTCATATACTTGCGACAGCTGAAGCAATTTGCATTCGATTGTTTCGGCCGCCCTTGTGCTCACAGAAGAAGTTGGTCCAGGCTCCAGCTTCCCTGGCCAGCGAAAGCGGAAGACGCCTAGGTCAATATTCTTCGGTCAAATTCGGTAGCACACAACTAACCTACTAAGACTTAGTCCGTTTCCTCATCTCTAACCCTTACTTGATCTGATCGTTTGAACTAACTAAGTCGATTTTTATTTTTATCCCCAAGTCAAATCAATTCAGTCAGCTTTACGTACCCAGATGGGTTCATTTTCAGCATTTTACCTTATCAATTGTAAATTAATCAAAGGGTTACCATTTGAAATGTCAACTTTACAAATGAGTAGACAAATGAGGATGCGCTGTCATATATCTATAGATCGATCGGGTAACGGTCCCAAAAGCGAAGTACATCTTTGGGATTTGTATCCCTTCAAAACGGAAAAGGTTTCATAAACATGTATCTTCAGAATGCGTCCCAATTGACGTAGAGTTTTGTGACCACCGACAATAGATCGAGGATCGCGCGCGATATCTCAGCGTTTATATTCAAAGGTTGATTGACTAGCTTGACCTTGAACGTTGATTTAAGAAATTGTCTGCCCGTATATTCTTGCAAAACTGAGATATATACAGTAGATAATGTAAAAATGATGTTCGGCCTTAAATGCAACGGCCTATTTAAAGTCCGCGCCTGCATATGACTGTAATGTTCTAATGGTGAATCATTGAAAGCAATTGCTTACCAGATTGTCTTTCGTTCTCTAAGCTTAAATGGTAATTTTCAACTTACTCAAATGCTCGAGTTCTGCTTTAAATGCCAGGCTTCAGTGAACTCACGTGCTTGCCTTCTTTTGGTCCTTCCGAGTATGTTGGCGTGCTCCAAATCGAATTGATGCTTCTCAGCACCCATATGCACTGACATCACGATCGTGGCCACGAATGGTTGTTTTCGTTAAACTTTATGCTTTGGCGCTTTGTTAAGAACACGTGTTGTGTGCTGTCTGTCAAGTCCATTCCTGTTAGGAATTGAACAAGACCATTCTTAACTATTTTTTCCAGTGCCTATGAAACGGCCGCAGTGTTATTTGTAGTGTGCTTGTTGCAGTTCGTGGACCGTCTTTGTGCTTCGCTGCCTATTCTTCCTTGAAATTTGTAACCTCTAGTATCGCATTGCTCTTCGGCTGGGGTTTCCACTGCAGCCTTTCTCTGTTGGAACGTTAATCACAGCTCCTAATTCCAGCTGAAAGCATTGCAGTTATTTTGCAATGCCTAGCATCGCATAGACACCTACCTTCTCTCTGCTCTATCTTATGGCGGTTACTCCCTGAATGGCTGGTGAGCTGTCCTAGTTCATTGGCCCTAAGGATGGCTGAACACCTCCCAAATTGGCTACGGCAGGCGTTGACGCACCAAACTGGTGCGGACCAACTGAAAATCACAACCCTGCTTCATCCATCGCAAGGCATCTCCTCATCACGTGGACTAATCGACCGCGTTACAAATACTGATGTTCGATCAGAACCCAAAAAGTTTGGTTCTCACTGAGGCTTTATTTAGCTCGAAAAATCGCCCTGGGTTGTGTGCACAGAAACAACTGTAGCGATCTGTTACTTTGGTTTGGTGTTGGTTGATCATTTTGTTTCAAATTGCGTTCAACATCATTTGTTCTCCGAGCTTGGCGCTTTTGTCGCAAACGTTTCACCACCATGCGAGGTGGCATCCTCAGTGCAGTGATATGTAGTGTGCAAGCTTACTAAATGAATCCTCCATCCATGATCGACCTGCAGGTGACTTTGAACGTGGCAGTGTCGATTTAGGTCCCGTGACCTCTACCCACTTTCCCTAAGGCTAAAGTCGGCGCCCGAGTTGTTCTGCCACAAACCGCGTGACAAATGGTTCTTTATTTCTTTCTGTCGTAGTGGTTCGTAGATTGAATCGATGTCCACACGCATGTTGATTGAGTGTTTCGTTGAGAACCAAGCTTCCAAAAATTTTCTTTTCTTGTTTCACCCCTTGCCAGGACTTCTGCTTTGCCCCCATCGAAGCTATGTCCTTCTTTATCTACATGCATTGAAACTAGCGGCGATGCATAATGCTTTACACAGGCCCTCTTATATTCTTGTATCCTTGTTACCAGTTTTCTTCCCGTCTGGCCAACAGAATCCCTTCCGCAGTCTCGGCAAGGTGTTTTGTATACCACATTGCGTTGTCCATGTGCCTGCAGTTTTTCTTTTGGTTTTGAAAGGGTTTTTCTCAACGTGGCAGTTGGTTTGTGTGCTACGATGAGATGATGCTGTTTGAATAGTCTGGCTGCCATTTTCGATATGTTCTTCATATAAGGCAGAACAACCCGTTTCTCCGTTGTCGTTGTTGTTGTTGTTGCCGCTGCTGCTGTTGTTGTTGTAGTAGGCCGTATGTTGACGTTGTTGTGATTCAGACACCTTCGGATGAAGCTTCGTGGGTATCCGTTGAGTTGGAAACATTTAAGTAGGTGCTTTTCTTCCTTTTGCTTTGCTTCTGTGGTACTACAGTGTGTTTGCATTCTGCGAAACAGTGTCCGCACACAGCATACTTTGTGGCATTTCGAGTGGTTGCTGTTAAAGTTCATAATTTGGTCTGTGTGCGTGCCTTTTCTGTAGACCAATGTTTGCAGCTAGCCTTCCAAAGTTCTTGTTACTAATACATCCAAGAAAGGGAGCTGCCTTTCCTTCTCCAGTTCCATTGTAAATTGGATGCCTTCCATGGCGTTATTCAATAGCTGTTGTACGACTGTTATTTGGTTGCGTCTGATTATCACAAAAGTGTCGTCCACATACCGAACCCACAGTTTCGGATTGATGAGTGGTAGTACCTCCTCCTCCAATTTCTGCATAACCATCTTTGCGATGAGTCCTGACACAGGTGATCCCATAGGTGCGCCTTTCTATTGCTCATTTAGTAAGCTTGCACGCTACATATCACTGCACTGAGGATGCCACGTCGCATAATGGTGAAACGTTTGCGACAAAACCGCCATGCTCGGAGAACAAATGAACGATTGATTCATCAACCTGGGTTCAACATGTTCGCTTCTGTTGATTCCTAATTGTATTGCGTTCATGACTGGGGAGAACAGTTGAAATGTCTAAATTTTACGACTGTTTTATTTCTCTATTTAGTAAATGATCTTCAATCGATTACCCTACGCAAAGTTGTTTTTTCATTTCGTCCACGCACCTCTGTTCCTAGTCTGACCAAATGTCATTATTAGATAGACTACTGTGACTACGTATTGACAGATCTATACACATGTCAGCGCACTTTGTAAGACCATGTTTTTGTATTGAGAATAAGCACACAGTTTGGCTATGTAGTGACATTTAAACACCGTTGCCATATCGTTTCTCCAGATACTGTTGCATTAATTTACGATTTTTCGTTGTTACACCATTCTTGATCCTGGTTTTCCACTGCAGTTCGATCTCTTGTTAACCCATCAAGCAGACATTCACTTCCGAAAACTTCAGAGAAGTGACGTGGCTGCTAAATAACTCACCAGATAGATAGTTTGATCACGAAAAATGTTTCGTTATTAAGCTCTGCTCATCTTACCTTCGGATCACTGAATACAGATGAAATCCCTACTATTGACGGTTCACTCTGATTTTCCTTTGTGAACACTATGCTCTTTCTCTGGTTTCATGCCGGGACATCGCAATCTCATAAGCAACTGGTGCGAGCGAACTTTGTGCATGTGACGAAATCATACCACTTCGCTTCCCATAGATAACTATATTTTCTGCGGGAATTGAATCCATTATCGCCAGCGGCTGCTTCTCATTAATCCAAATCTACTCCTCAGTCGCCATATTGTACACTCCTCCAAAGGCAGCAAGGTTACTGAACTGCATCGAAAGTCTATGAGCCGCAGGACGGCATGCTAAATTTTTTGTCGTTTTTTATAGCACGTGCTTCGTCGTTTATGGTCTTCGCAGTTAGATTTTCTTCGTCCTATATTTCAGGAAGGCACCGTAGCATACTTATTGATCATTCAGCTCAACATGGGAAACTGGTCATTGAAAGTTGCAACGACTTTCCCCCGGCGTACACACGGATCGCCGATTCAGAACTGACACCCATCAAGTCTATCTAATACTTTTTTCTACACCCGCATTTTCCTCTCGCTTGGGTCTGCGGCAAGCATTTGTGCTCAGCTGCTAATCTAATGGGCCGCTGCCCAATCATCCTGGGGAATACCGCGGTTATCTACATATGACTACATAATTCTGACTCTAGTGACCACCCCGCTCAGCGGGAACGAAGTTTCTCATCCATCTTCATTTGATTGCGCTTATTGTCATGTTGAAATTATTCACACGAATGCCGATATTGAGAAACGTAATCATTTTAACTACATTATTACGGTTCGATTCCTCACTTATTTAGGTTCCATATACATATCATTTGCATGTGCGTGCCTCTGTGACTATCCTCTTGGTTTCTCCTGCTTTCATGGTGAGCCACTTATGATACTTGTAGGAACGCGGTTATTTCTCTCGTTCTTTTTTCCACAGGAAGTGTTGGTGGAATTGCAGAAACTGCTCGTGCTTACTCCTCGGGAGGCCATGGTCTACCTCATGATCGGTCACACGTACAAGAAGATGGGTAACACTCCCCAGGCTATGATTCACTACTCTTGGGCAATGGGTTTGGATCCCAAGGGAGCTAATACTCACTTAAGAGATATCATGACGAATCCGCCAGTCGTGGGTCACAGTCTCTCTTCTCGTCGTGAGACTATGGGAGTGGAGAATGGCGCCCTCAGTTCCACTCGCACTACGCGTTCTAGGTTGGCGACCGTGCCGGATGACGCGCAACCGGAAGCGGAGGAGGCCGGTGATGATAGGCCATCTTTGCCTGAGTCTTCTTTTGGCGATCCTGACGTTCAGCTAACTACTGATGAGACTATGGATCGTATTTTCCACTCCGATCAATTCAACAGTTCCAACGCCACTCAGAGCAGAGCCGCGCGCCACCTACTTGATCTTTCATTTCTGTACGATGCCGAAGATTATGACGATGCCGCGCTTTCTGCAACCGAAGATGCCGACGATCATTATGAAACAATGGATCTGAGCGGTGAAGTCGAGGACGGTAGCAGTCACAGTGTGACCGATGACTAATTTTCCATCAATCCATCTTCTCGACTTGCATATTCCGGCGTTCGGTTTCTTGATCTTCTGTTTCTTTTTGTGCGGGCGGCCTAATTTGTCCCCAAAAACAGCGACCTTGTGTATTATATTGTGATGTGACCTCAACGTTCACTTACGCGTATGGAAGATTATATCTTGATGCAATTTTTCACTTTTATCCAAATCACCCGTGTGGCATTGGAAAACGATGTTATTCCATTCGTCAGATTCACACGATTTCTTATCAGCAGCCACCCAAACCGAATGAACTGCTCTGTAGCTCAGTGTGTAGCGTCAAGCAGTTTCTGTAATCTGAAAGCTTTCAACTTTACTTTTAGCCACTCGTTCAATCTACGTCTGACTTTATCTTCGTTTGGTCGTAAATGGCGATTCTTGTTGGTATTGTATGTCTCAGTCCGATCACAGAGAAGCTGCTCATATCACGGGAACTCGTCCCATCCTCCTACATGCTGTTTATTCTCATCATCAGTGTTGTTTTTAGAGCTTCGCATTCTAGTGGCCAGACTATTCCAATGGAAAATTTCAGGTCGGCTGTACTCTCCGATCATCACTGTCAAACGTTTACATTTGGGCGCAGTTTGATATCAATCCGAAACCGCCTCAGTACCTCTGATTGAGACGCGTAAATTCTGTATGACCTTATTGATCAGTAACGTTCGCTTCGATTGACAGAGTTTCTCAGTTATGTGATAATCGCCATTTCACTCTAATTTCCGCAGATTCAGCAAACACCATGACTGGTGCACGCGCCAGTCTATAGCAATAAAAAACGTATCAATGTATAGCCGTATAGCACTCTTGGAGAATTTCAGGCAGGGTGGTTTAATTTAGGCACAACAAACCAATTAAAAATGCGTGCGCGAGAATGCAGTTCTCGGTAAGTCAAAACCGATTGATGACTAAAAGGTGACAATGTAAAGACTGCAACGAAATATTTCCGACGATATGGTTGGCGTCCTCCGGATTCGCTTGTCACTGCGGTTTCCATAGGACACCACAGGACGCCTGCGCACACAGAGAAACCATGGGTGGCTTGCGCCGCATCACCCACAGCTCCATCTCTATATCTCATATCCAGTGTAAAGCCGAAGTACTAATATCGGGAGGCACGTGGATGGGAGCCACGTTTCATCAACGGAGCCGGCCCACACTCCTTCACAGGCAAACACAAGCACGCTGTATTTGGGGAATCAAGCGCACACAAGGCGGTGGCTGGACCGTAGTCCGCTTCACACTGAGTGCATGGGACCACTCTTTGAGCCTTGCACGGCCACGAGGACCGTGCACCCCATCCCCTCCCAGCAACGATTTACAGTCTCCTGGACCCAGTAATCGAGGCGGAAGGTGCCAGACAGGTAGGCACCTTGTCAACATTCACATTATGTACGGACCCATCGGGGATATTAATCAACATATAATTAGAAGAAAAATAGACACGAAATATGCAGCGAATATAACAAAACTGAGCAAATCAAATAAAGTGGTGCACTTTCCATTTAGATTATAAAGATCGTTTTTAAGGGTTAGTCGGTGCAGCCCACAGGACGCCTGCGCCTACAGTGGGACCATAGGTGGCTTGCGCTGCACCACCCACAGTTCCATCCACACACCCCATATCTAGTGTAAACCCGAAGGAATAAGACCGGGAGGCATGTGGATGGGGGCCACGTTTCATCAACGGAGCCGGCCCACACTCCTTCACAGACAAACACAAGCACACTGTATTTGGGAAATCAAGCGCACACAAGGCGGCGGCTGAACCGTAGTCCGCTCCACACTGAGTGCATGGAACCACTCTTCGAGCCTAACATGGCCACAAGGACCGTGCACCCCCTCCCGTCCAGCAACGTACTACTGTCTCCTGGAGCCAGTATGGACGAAGTAGTGGGTAATAGACAAGTAGGCACCTTGTCAACATGCACATCAAGCGCAGCCACACCGGGGATATCAAACAACAGCCATTCACTTTAAACGACAAGCTGAAATAAAATAAAGCCAATAATGCATACTGACACGGTGGCATAACTCTTCCCTAAATTACCAAATGAAGTTGGTTAGCAACGAATCCGCGATAAGTAAGAAATGTCCACAAGTTACTTAAAAATGCCACAAGCGCAACAAAATTACCGAAGATAAGCGCAGTTAGCGTAAGCAACGTAGCTAATTAATAGAACATTATTGAGGTAGGCAGAACAAAGCAAATAAAGTGGAATGAAATTTATCCAGCTTAAAAAGACCTAGTTTAGGTGTAAGTTGGTTTAGCCCAACTGCGGTGAAGAAGCATCAAGAATGCAACATCAGCCTCAGCAGGGGGCACACATACATACATGGTTGGCGGCATACGGTTTCGGATTTGCCTGTCACTGTGGCAAGCCACAGGACGCCTGCACCTACAGAGGGACCATGGATGACTTGCGCTGCAACACCCACAGCTCCATCCACACCCCATATCCATAATCCAGGTAGGCATCTTGTCAACATACACATCAAGCGCAGCCACACCGGGGATATCAAACAACAGCCAATCACTTGACAGAAAGATAACAAATAAACTAAATCGGATGATGCGTACAGATACGGAGACATAAGTCTTCAATTAATAGGCGTATAAAAATTGGTTACGAAGGAGTCTGCGATAAGTTCAAGATGATAGAAAATATATTTTAAGGATATGTCACGAACGCTAAAATGTTATCGAAATTAACTACAATTAGCTTCAGCGACGTGTGCACGTTTATAGAAGATATTTCAGGTAGACAATAATATGAGCGAGAAAAGTGTTAGGACAATATAGAAAAGCCACCACCTGAAATAAAGAGACTTAGCATGCAAGCACGCGGTTAGTAAATCGAATGCAGCGTACCTACCAACACTGCGCCGGTTCTGCCTACGTTGTCTGCAGGACCCGTCGTCGCTTCCGTAGTGGTCCCGAGTGGCCTCACTCATGACTCACTAGGCCTGCCTGACTCAGGCACTCGCGACCGCATGTGCTAGAGCACCATGCGCTCGATGTCGATGGAGTACAACCCGTCGGTGCTTGCCGCTTTCGCACTTGCCGCTTCTTCTCTGCATGCATGAGGTCTTTCTCTCGCACGTCGGCAACTGCCTTGTGATCAGATCGCGCCATGCACGCCGATCAACCGCTTTCGATTCCCATTACCTGCAATCAAGATTAGAACGTGGGAAACTCACTTTGATCATGTCCTGGTAACGTAACTTTGGTTTCCCCACGTGCCGCTTCCCAATACTCAGCTGACCGTATAAAAGTTGTTTCGGAATCCGCGTCGAATCCATAGGACTCACATGACCGAGCCACCTCAGGTATCTCAGTAAAAGTATGCGTTCCACTGCATACATACCACATCGACGCAACACTTCCGTGTCCGCAACTCTGTCGCCCCATCCGTTGCGCATAATCCGTCGCAAACACTTGGTGGAACCGCTCGAGATATCGCACATCCCGCCGGTACATCGTCCACGTTTCACTGCTGTATAGAAGAACGGACAGCACCATGGATTTGTATACCATCAGCTTCCTGCCAATGCTAAGCTGATGGTTGTTCCACATTCGGTACTCTGGTTTCCCAAGTGCGGCCGCTGCCTTCGACACGCGGATACGCAACTCACTGTGTAGCTGCTGGTCGGTCGAAATCACACTCGCAAGGTAGCAGAAGCGGGAGGTGGTTTCCAATACTTCAGCACCAATTCTGCTTCGCGGCAATATTAAAGATTGCACCTCCGATGAATGCTGAAAGAGACAGACAGTTTTGCTTGTGTTGATGGTGAGCCCAGATTTTGCCGCTGTCGAAGCCAGAGCACTAGTCATGTGCTGCAACTCATCCGCGCTGTGTGAAAACAACGCACAGTCGTCAGCAGACAGCAACTTACGGATAGTTGTCGCACAGACTAGAGTTCTCGCACCGAAACGACGGATGTTCATCAACCCACCATCAATACGGTGCTCCACACGAACACCGTAAGCACAAGCCGCATCAAAAGCACAAGACAACATTGCATGGAGATAGATATTAAACAGGGCAGGAGCTAACACACAGCCTTGCTTCACACCAGAGACAACTGTAAAGTCATCAGAGGTCTCTCCACTCAGCTGCACCCTCGCTCGCATACCACTGTGCAGACATTCAACTAAACTTACAAACTTACGCGGGCAACCAAACTTACCCAACACCAGCCGCAATGCCTCGCGGTTCATCGTATCAAATGGCTTGGTGAAATCAACAAAAAGCGAGTACAATGGCTGGTGTCGTTCTCTGCACTTCTCCTGCAACTGACGAGCCGCAAACACCATATCTATAGTGCTGCGACCCGAACGGAATCCACACTGCTCTTCCGCCATGTTAGATTCCACAACCTGACTAACGAGGCGGTTTAGCTGGATTCGGGCAATCACCTTGCCCACACACCCCAGCAAGTTGATGCCACGATAATTCGTACAACATTGCTTGATCCCTTTGCTCTTGTACAGTGATGGCACGAGGGCATCCTTCAGCTCAGCAGGCACCTTCTCCTCAATCCATACGCGTTGCACCAAGTGGGGCAGCGCAGTTACCAGTGCGGGTCCGCCGTGTTTCAATAATGCAGGCGGGATCCCGTCGGCCCCAGCACACTTGCCGTGTCGCAGCTGAGTAATTGCTCTGCGTCTCATCCAGTGTCGGCGTGTCCGCCGGACTCGCCTTCACATCGTGCTGCTTCAGACCGTTCAATGTAGGCCAGTCGATCTCTGAACGGTTGTTTAAGAGACAGTCAAAGTGTTTCCGCCAGATCTGCAGTCTGGGTGCAGGTAGCGCCTGAACTACCATCGATCAGTGTCCTCAGCGGCTCCAATCTCGGTCCATACACCGCCTTCAAGGAGTCAAAAATTCCTTGTGTTGACGGCGTTCGGCGTAGCATTCCATCTGCTTCGCCTTCTCCGTCCACCATGCATTTTTAATGCGACGGAGCTCTCTGGTCAGTCGCCATCGAAGTTTGCGAAACTGACTCTTCTTCCCCAAGTCACTGGGGTCTGCAACATGTGCAGCAAATGCTGCATTCTTCTCTGTCAACAATGCGCCAATCGTCACATTGTTGTCATCAAACCAATCAGGCCGCTTACAGTTTGCGCGCCCGATGGTCTTTTCGGCAGCAGCTGTCACCTGGTCGCGCATGTGGTGCCACTGTGGCTATCCAGTCCACATCACCACACAGGCGTGCAGCCATCGCCTTCTCCAGCTCAGTACGTTTCGCCACAGTACCGAGGGAGAGAATGTTAAATTTACGCCGATTCACGGCGGGAGTGCAATACATCGATTTACGAAAATATATGTACAGTTTGGTTCGCAGCAATTT